TTATTTAAAGCAAGTAGGCTACTCTCAATTTGATTGGTTTATCCCTTAAAAATCACATGATCTGCTCTTTTTTCCAGAACATATACGCGTCACGATAATTTTTAAATTCCAATTCAACTTCTGAAAGAAAAAAATTAATTTTTGTGCTTCAATATTAGTTGGTGTGGAGCCGATCCTTCACCTCTTCTTAAAGGTACGTTTTTGAATTTTTGAAATACTTGTTAATTTTATTTATTTGATTATTTATTTGATAGTTTATAATTAGATTTAGTTGCAACGGGCATTTCAGTTGATTCGACAGATAAACAAGTCTTGGAATTCAAAAATTTTTTTGGAACGATGAATACAAACGAGAAAAAAGAAATTCATGAATACAAGGTTGAGGAAGAATCAAGTAAGGATCAAGTAAGGATATGAAGACTACAGCTAGTTCTTCGGACATAGAAGAAAATTCTCAACCATCGTACATACCCAACTTCTTGCCATCATTACCTGATGGTTGCCCAGCAAAAAGATCAGAATTCGAATCGGATGTTAACAGTAACGCAAAAAAGGAAAAAGATTTAACACAAAAAAAGAGAAATGCGTATATAATGCCCCGGTTAACGTTTCTAATAATAATAACTCATCAAAACTAAAATTCAATAATTTATCACTATCACAAGTCCATGAGAAATTTGAAGACGCATTCAACTCGTTTGCACAAGAGAAATCACCATCGGTCAGATCACAATCATCAAATAATAAACGTAATACTAAAGAGAACTTTCTTATTGTACCGTGAATCCAGAAGAAACAATCTGTGCTTTTTCGAGTTATGGACTTCTTGGCGATGATACCGAAACTTCTATGCCTGAATTAAGTGATTCCGAGCTTTTTGTTCTCAAACCAATAACTAGTAAATTTGAAGTTGCTGCTGCTCCCGATGAAACATCACAACGAATATTCAGAGACGATAGAAAATAAGAATTTCATATTCTAGTAATACTTTATCAAGGCAAAACTCTTCAAGAATTTCAAGACGTGTTCTTCCCATCTTATCGGATGAATTACCTCCGAATCTGTTATCGCGAATAAGAAAACGATCTAGAAAAAACCTCGATGAAACTGAAGAATCTACTGTTCCAAATATCAAAAAAGCAAAAACTGAAAAAGCGGGAAATATTTTGCTGACTCCCAAAAAGAAAGCAGCCACCATTAAAACTGTGAAACCGAAACCTACCAAAAACACGTCCACACCATCGACCAAAACAGCTAATGAAATAGCGAAACAATTGCCGCCACCGCTTCCAGACAATAACACAGAATCGAAATAATTAATTGTATATGCGAATTTCCGGATAAAGATAATGGAGAATTCATGATATCGTGCGACAACTGCAATGTACGGCGAATACGTAGGACTTGGAGGTGAATTGATGGAGGTGGACAATTGGACTTGTCAGCGATGTGTTCCAGAAATAGCTAAAAATTTTACGTGATTTATTTGTTTAATGCTTTATTCGCTATTATTATCAATATGCTAATATCTAAAGATGAATTTATTAGTTTCATCCAAAATTGATTTCAAAAATGAATTATAATAAAATTCGTGAGAATGAAGCATAATATATATATAATTGTTAAAACATTAATAGCATTACTTTTTGAGTCCTAAATACATGTATAAATGATGCATACTTTGGAATCGGAAAGAAGAGCCCTTGGCTATACATTGCGCTATATCTCCGGCTAAAAAAAATACTGTGAATACGATCAAAAATCTTAAAGACCAAAATCCGGTTGTCTTGGCATTCACTTTTTGTTGTATGTTTTTGTATGGTTTACTGATGTGCATTTACAATCAAAATTCTCAACAAGCTGTTTAAATAT